GGGGGGGGCTGCAGGTCACCGTTGATCCTAGGCAGCAGGCGGTGTTACCACTCCCCACGGCGCGTGAGCATGCTCTCTCCGCTCCAGCTTTCCCGCCTACCCAAGAACTACCCCCTTCCGGGTGCACCCGAAGAGCGGCCACCGAATCCAAGACACCCGCACCTCAAAGCTCCGCACCTCTACACCGGCGCGCGTCCACCATAACCCAAGTGTACCCTGTGGCCAAGGCCGAAGACCCGGAGGGGTAGTCGCTCGGCGGGGCTTACGAAGAGAAGAGCCGCTACCCAAAGAAGACTCCGGGCCTACGAAGCTTCAGCACGCGCCGCGGCTGCGCCGCGTCGCCTCGAAGAAGCCGGACAGTGGACGCTGGTCGCAGTTCAGCCGCGGTCTCACCTAGGGCCCCCGCACCCTGACGGGTCTCGGACGAGTAACGGTAGGATCTACAACGCTGCATGCCGCCTCATCAAGGGCCCCCGCACCCTGGCGGCGCTCGGAAGCTAACCGCGGGGTCCACGGCCCCCGTGCTTAGCGCGAGCGCCTCAAGGTTCGGGAACCCACTTAGCTGCCAACTTGCGAGGATGTCGGGCGTTACCGGAAACCGGGATCAGCATACTTGCTCTGCAATGTGCCCCGGTGGAAGGGCCTCACAATTAGGACGGCTACTGGTCGGACCGAAAACCTTGGGCCACGGGTGGCCTCACGGTTAGTCAAGTCAAGTCAAGACAGGCACGTTTACGAGCCAGCACAACGCGCGCAAAGTGTCGAAGCTGACCGGCGCGCGCAAGCGCCGCGCCCTGTTCAAGGAGTCTGGGCAGCCGCCAAAGAGACGCCGCACCGCGGCGGGGCCGGACGACCACTATGGCCGCGACGCCCAGGGCCCTCAGGGCGAGAGCGAGGGCGAGGACGAGCCGCAGCCACTCCCAGAGGTTGAGGACATGGCCGTGTTGGAGGCGAAGATCCGCGCCCACCTGGATGCCATTGAAAAGAGTAGAGAGAGGATCGAAGAGATCATGAAGATCGCCCAAAACTCTTGGGAGTGGCTCACCGAGCGCCGCTTGCGCCTCACCGCGTCGAACTTCGGCCCGGTCTGTCGTCGGTCTAAGCTCTTGTCGGTGAAGATACTGGTACACCACCTCCTGTACACCGACCCGACCAACAAGACCAAGGCCATGGAGCACGGGTCGGCGACAGAGCGGACCGCGAGGGAGCACTACGAGGCCAAGCACGGAGTGACGGTGCGAACTTGTGGCCTTGTGCTAGACCAGGAGTATCCGTTTTTGGCAGCAAGTCCAGGTAAGATTCCGAATTTATATACCCTTTCTCTGGGGAATGTCCACATACTGGAAGAGCGCAATTCGTACCGGGTGTTTCATAAAAACTCAGGTGCGCGCGGGTTTGCCTATCCAAGGGGCTATGGCGCCTTACGGGCATATCGAATAGGCAAACCCGCCCGCACCTGTGTCATTTATCAAACACCCGGTATAAGTATTTCTTTTACGACATATTTCCGAGAAGTTGCAAGTTTTTTTTTTATTATTATTTTCAGACGGATTTTTAGATGATGACACGCTTCTTGAGATAAAATGCCCCACAAGCGGCGTCCACTTTGACTCCGCAGAGGAAGCGGTCAGATGTAAAAAGGTAACTTTCCCTTGATGTCTGCTGCAAAGGGTGCGGAGGACAAGGCCTCGCTTGCACCCGTTGAAATTTCTAAATATTATGTAATTACTGTTTGTTTCTGATTTACAGCTGGATTATCTCAAGTTGGATGGCAATGGTGCCCTCTACCCGTACGAGCGGTCTGACTACAACTTCCAGATCCAGGGACAGCTCCACATTACAGGACGCAGCAAGTGTGTCCTGTATATCTATCAGGAACATGTAGATGAGGCCACAGGCGTTGCGTCCAAGAAGTGGGACAAAGAGATCTTAATTACGCGTAATGACAAGTTTTGGGCAGAGGATATGGAGCCTCACCTAGTGCAGTGAGTATTCGCTCGGTGTTCTCTCTTATAAGCGGCTATGTCCGATCGCATAATATCTTTGAAATTTCAATGCAGGTTTTACAAGCAGGCACTAGTCCCCGAACTAGTATGCCCTCGGGCAAACTCCAGCAAGGCCTCTAGGGACAAAATTCGGGAGGCGCCGTATGTCCTAGAGGCCATTGCCGCAAGAAAAGCCCTGTTAGAGGAGCAGGCGCTCGCCAGGCAAAACAAAGAAGGAAAGTCATCACAAACCAAAGCAACGGCGAGGAAAAAATAAACAACAAATGTGCCAATTTTTTGTTGTAGGTTTTCGTGCTTTTGTAAATGTTTACTAGTCACACAGCCATTATTATATATCCATTCTCAACAATGTCCAACGAGTATTTTTTTTTTTGCCAATTTTCGTCAATTGCAATCACAGATTTCGAATATGGGGGGCCCGAGCGGCAGACACGACCGGGGCCCGGGCCGGGCCGTCAGCGCCGCAACGCGGCCCGCTCCACCGCGCCTCGCCCAGCGTACGCACGGCACGGGCGTGGGGCTCGGTTACGCACGGCACGGCTCTGCGTGTCACAGGGGCCCCGGCGCTCTGATGCTGCCTCAGCTTTACGAGGGGCAGTGGGAGGGGGCAAAGATAAGGGCCGGTCCCTCATTCTTCTAACTCTTACCGCCTGACCGAAGGAAACAACCGTGACGACTCGTGCAGAGGTCCGGCGTATGCAGGAATTCAGCCAAACCGTTGGAGATATCGATCTCAGATTTTGATACAATGTAGATAAAGGATGTGGCTACAGCGTACCAGAGCGATATTCTGCAAAAAGTGCCCACGAAAAAAACTGTTGTGGCCGAGTCAAAGGGTTCATTGTAGGCAATACAGGCAATGTCGGAGGCAAATGAATGCGTTCGACATCGAGATTAGTCCTTCAAGGACCCACCTGCCGAATTTGGATTTTTTCGGTACACGGGTTTTTGAGAAACAACGTGAGAAGTCTTCCCGTGCAAGGCCTTGCGCGCGCCGCGCGGAGCCCGCCAGCGCGCTGGACGGCCGGGACTTTAGCCTCCTCTTAAGCTCAGCCTTAAGTCTTTGACTTCAACTAGTATAGTGATATTTGCATTCTGTTGGCAATAGCTTGCAGCAGTGGAATCGCATGGAATGACCACGTTAGGTTGGTACGAACATACACGCATACACACACTCACACAGTCTTCTCTAGTGTTTGTTGTGGTGCAACTCCAGGCAAAAACATTTCCGATTCGTTCGAACTTCGAACTGAAGTTCATGTGATAATCAGTGCATATTGTGCTGTGACCGTCCTGCTTTGGCGAAATTTCGAAGATTCATGAAAGGGAGAATCAAACTCATTTGTGAATACGTGATGAAGTGAGTTGGTGGGCCGGCGCATCAATCAAACCGCCGCTGGAAAGTCTGAAGAAAATACAAGTTTTACCAAATGCCAGGCTTCTGTATTAATGGAGAATCAGTGTACGGGACAAATGGATCCAAAAATGTGGAAGAAATCACTTGATGTGCGTGTACTTCAACATGCGAAGAAGATAATCAGGTAAGTTTTGAGGTTAGTCGTCCCTTAGACCACCTCAAATCTTCACAAAGTTTTTAGACAAAGTTCTCAGACAAAGTTCTACTCATTCAAAATGACTGTTGTCTTGTGTCACCCTGAAAATTTGGTTTTCAATGCTGTTATCTGGCCCATGACTAGCTATTGTTCATTTAATTCTTTATTGTTTTGTAGCATCCGAATAAAGAAGGAAAGCAGAGACAGTTTTATCTTTCTCACATTAAAAACAAGTGGCTCTCTATTAAATTTTTTATTTTTCTCTTGCAGAAAATTGGCATTTCATTCAAAACACATTGAGCGCAAACATATATAAATACAGTGCTCGCCTCCACCCCTCGACCCTGGAGACAGGTTTTTAAAGTTTGTAATCCTTTAGCATACTTGATGACTTTGTTCAATCGAATTCTGGAATATGTATGTCTTATGGATTTCATTTTAAAACAGGAATGGTAAGTTTAAGTAATTAAGTAATTCTAAAAATCTTATTGTTGTTAAGTTCAGTATTTGCTAACATAAGATTTTATAATTTTGTTTTCTGTTGTAGTTTACTTGTGCAGGCGCACTGCCTGTCCAACTGAAGATCTTTTACCGTTCATATCTGCCTCAAGTATCGCTATGGTTCCATTTCGATTCCAAAGCATTTGATTCGAAAACAAGACGGATCAAATTAATTCTACTAAATGCTTACAGTGAGTATTGTTTTAGTGCTTCTTCAATGTGGAATGTTTTTGTGTTGAGAATCTGTTGTATTAGTCTACATTGATAGCATTTCTGTATTGTCATTTTCTGTTGCAGGGATTACATGATATTGAGCCATAAACTTTCATTGGAGGATTAAAGTTCCTTTCGGGGTATTCCATATTACCACTATGCATCATTTTAGTCACTTTTCTTTGCTGTTCCAACTTTCCACATACACTGACAAGTTACCAAACAACATTGTCTTAATTTGGTTGTTTGTTCTGAATCGGAACCAAGGTATTTTTTTTATTTTGTTTCTATTGTGTCAGTTTTGTAAAGAATTACCAGCACTAATATATTTCCGTTTATTTTTTAGGTCCTTCCACAACTTTTTCCTTCAACATCGATTCAAATGAGGAAGAATTATCTATCTGATAAAGTTGCTGTACTTGAATGAAACTACAACTTGAATCTAATGGCTCTGCATTAGCAGCAAATGGCAATAATTCCAGATTCAAGAAACAATCCAGGTGAACTTGCTTGATTCTTTTTTTCTTTAACTAAGTCTTTTTTCTTGGAAGTAGGGGTCTCGCTTGAAAAGATAAGAGTAGTCTACATGCACATTTAGGATGTGTGTCTAGGACCTAAAGTTTTTAAAGCTGTTGTAAAGTGAAATGGCAATCTTTTAAACCAAACCTCAAAATTAAAAATTGATTTTTGGGATTGAATGGTATTGACATAACTTAGTTTTTAGCACAGAAATGTGTAAGAATTGTGAAGGGGATACTGGGATACCAAGCAATACCCAAAATTGTGTATTTTTTTATAAAACTGTCAAAAACTTCACAAATGAACTTTTAGTTTTCAAATAGCCAACTTAGGCTTAAAATGAGCCTGAGTTTACTAGGCACAAACGTGTGTTGCCAAATTTAAAGTTTTGTTCATACTTACACATGAATAATCTAGGTGAAAATGACATTAAAATCATTTTCAATGAAATTTCCCAAAATTTGCATTTTTTTTGCACTTTTTTTGTATCAGTCTGAACAGAATTAAACTTTTGGCAGCATTCAGTTGAATCTATTCACCTCAGAGTCGTTTTAACCCCAGGTTGGCTATTATAAAACTGAAAGCTCATTGTATGGGGTTTCCGGCAAATTTTGATAAGAAATTAACACAATTATGTTATGCTCAGGAACCACTTCACATATCTCAAATGTTCCTATGCTGGAGAGAGAGTCATGTCTGTACAATTGAATTCCTGAAATGCACATGTACTTTTGTCCCTTTAAAAGATAGCAGTTTGCTGGAAAAGGTGAAATTTTCTCTTTACATTAGCCCTAACCTTGCATTAGAGAGGGTGTCCTGCCCAGACCTAGACCTGGTTCCCACGTTAGGTTAGGGGTCTCCTCGAAGTACAAATAACTTGTCGGCGCTGAGTTCAAATCTAGTATCCAATGTTTGGGCCGTCTTGATCCACTCGGTATTCATCATCAGAACCTTTCAAGGACGACACCGTCGGTCATGGGATATTTGGCGCCCACACTCTACACAGGCCGTGTTCCTGATGAACTCATTGGGGTGAACGTTTGCTTCTTTCCTCCTTTCTGGCCACGGATAGGCCTGTACCGATACCTTCGAAACTCGGGGGTAGATTGCACCAGTATTGGGCTCTTTCGTCTCGCTTGTTAACCAGAGCACTTTCATGAGGTG